AACAGCAAATAAAATATTCGAGAAAAGAAAATCTTTGAGAAAATTTTCTCAAAAGAAAAAAAAATTATATAGAAATAGGAAATTTTCTTTTTATGGAAAATTTTCTTGTCGGAGGAAATAAAGTATGTGGAGATTTTTTTTTTTTTTTTGTTTTGTTTTTAATATTTTTTCTAGTTATAATTTTAAAAAAAAATGTACATACTACTTACATATTTAAAAAATATTACATACAATTTATAATTGTTATACTTAACGTTCCATATTAATAAAAACTAATAGTTAAAAAAATTTTATTTTTTTTTTCATACATTTTGTATTTTTTCTTCTTTTTTTTTTCTTTTCTTTTCATTTTTTTTGTATAATAATAAGATGGTGTATGTGTTGTGTATAGATTTTTGTTATTATAGAGAGAGAGAAAAAGAAAGAAAGAGAGAAGAGTAGAATAGAGTAAAGTATTGCCGTTGTCGTAATCGTAAATGTTAAAATTGAAAATGGTTTTCGTTGCGCCGTTGCCGCTACCGTCGCCGACGTCGTTGAAGTCGTAAAAAATTTTATATATATATATATATATATAAATATATATACATACATATGGATTTATGTCATATACATTGTATATTATTTTATATTAATATGCAGATATTTTATATTACACAAACAAAAAATATAAGAATAAAAAACGAAATGAAAAAAAAAAAAAAAAAATAAATAAATGTACTTTTTGAGTGTGTGTGTGTGTGTGTGCATGTAATAATATATTGTACGTCGTTTTCGTTTATTATATTTTTGTGTCGTGTGTACGTACATCCATCCATACATACATATAGCAAGAAGTAGAGAAAAGTTTTGTTTTTTTTTTCTTGTTATTTTTTTTTTTTTTGTGTAGGGGACTTTGTTTTTAAAATATAATCGCGACCATCTAAAAAACACAAAAACGAAAAAAGAAAAGAGAGAAAGAAAATGAAAAAAAAAATAAAATATTAAATAGTGAGAAAAGGCAAGGAAGACATCTTTTTTTTTTTCTGATTTTTCGGTATTAAAAAAAAAAATAATAATTTTCTTAATCTTTTTGACTTTTTCATATAAAAAAAAATTCTTTTTCGATTTTTTGTTTCTTTTTATTAAAGTTTTAATTAAGTTTTGTCATTTTAAATCTCTTGAAATCTTGAAAAAAAAACAAAATAAATAAATTAATTGAGAAAATTTTAAAATATTTTAATTTTTTATTTTTTTTTTTCCATTTTAAAATTATTGCTATTAAGTTTTATTATTTATTTCTTAATATTTTATTAGGGTAAAAATAATAGCAGCGAATATTTTGTAAAATCGAGAAAAATAATTAAAAAATTTATAAAAAAAATGAAAAACCTAAGAAATAAAAAAATTTCAAAGACTGATGATTTTCAATCTTTATTTATAAAAATTTTTAATAATTATTTTACTTTCATAAAAAATTAAGCAATTAAAACGTTGAAGTAGAAAAAAAAACAACAAAAAAAATTAAATAAAATGAAGTAATTTTTCTTCATAGTTTTTTTTTTTTTAAAAAAATCACAAAAAGTACAATGAAAAATTTCTACTAAATACATTTTAATAATAAAAAAAGAAAAAAAAAAATAAAATAATAAGAAAAAATTAAAACCACGCACTTTGGATTTAATAATAAAAATTTTTTTTTATTAAATATGGGAGCTAATGATAAATTGTGAGTCCATAAAAAGGATATATAAGGTTGTTTTTTTAAAATACTTATTTTTTTTTACAATATATTGAAATTTTACTACGTTTACATGCAAAAATAAAAAGAGAAAGACAAGAGAAAAATTTTGTGTTTTTTGTTTTTTTTTTTGGTTTTTTTTTTTTTAATTGAATATGAAGTGAAAATTTTATACTGTTAATATTTCATTGAATATAGAATATACTTATTACATATTGTATATATGATTCCATATATGTACATATATATACATCGTACATTATTATATATATTATGTGTTTATTATAACAAATTTCAATACAGTGATGTTCCAATAAATTGAACGATAAAATGTTAAAGTTGTTCGTAATATCAAAACTGTTTTTTACATCAAATACATACATCTAAAATAAGAACATTAATGAATTAAGAAATCAAGTAAAAATTGTGTTTTTTTTTTTCAATTGAAATATGTACATATGTAATTCTTATTCATTTGTTGAAAATAAATTGGTAATTTTTGTTTTGTATTATCAGACGCTTTATATGTGCCATCAAAAATATGTTTTAAAAATTGCAAAAATTCGTACGCAAACAAACAACGAACAAAATCAAAAAAATTTCTAAATATGAATAGAATGTAAATATAAATTCAATATTTATTATATAAACCTACTTAATTCAAAAAAAATTTAGCTATTTGTTGTTATATTGGAACTTTCATTAAATTGAGTATTCGTTATATTGAAACATTACTGTATTCGAAAAGAAGTGTATTAAATAAACAAATTCAATAATATATAATATTAATAGTTATACTTAAATGTCTAATATATTTTTACTAATGTTGAAATTTACGGTCTCAATAGCATAAATTCAATTTTGAGAATAAATAATTTTTTGTGAACAAAAATTAATTTTATTTTTAATATAAAATTATTTGATTACATTACATTACTTAAATCTAATCAGAATTAAAGTTTTCTGATTAGAATGAGTATTGTTATGATTACATAGGTTTTGTTTTTAATAAAAATATGTGCGGTACACTTATTATTAATTAATTTTAATTCAATTTATTCAATATTCATTTCAAACGTTTTCTGAGTTAAATGAGTACTAATAAGTACCTACCTACTTTTTATAAGTACATTTAATAGATAGTCATTGAAAAAATGAGACATAATTAAAATTTACAATAAAAATTCCTTATAGTTGTTTACTCCTTTTTCAATTTGAATTCGTAAAATAGAAAAGTATAACTACCTCTTTGTCTATTATATTATGTTATATCCTTGCATTAAAATTGAGTACATACACAATAATTGTATGTAGTTCATACATATGAGTAGACATATTTCGATTGTGTTCTTTATAATTTTGACATCATATAAATATGCCAAAATGTACTTACATTAGATAGTAGATACATCTATTTCGTATATGTACTCATATTCAGTTTTTCAAGTAAACTTATTCCCAGTAGAGAAAAAAAAATTAAAAAATCAACTATTTTGTATAAATTTTCAGTATCGAAATGTTACTTTCTTTATTATTTTTTGTAATTAAATGGTCATTTTTAAAAAAATGTATATTGCCAAATATTGGTTTCATATAAAAACTTATAAAAATACAAATTGGGATTTTTTAATATACCTATGTATAGATAAATGTACATATTTATGTACGTAGGTCTTTTCTTTTTATAATTTATAATAAATCTTAAAATTTGCATGTAAACATAGCTAAAACATTCAATAATAAAATATGAACCCGAGTGTGTGTGTATGTGCTTGTATATATACTTTGTACTCGTATACACACATTTATATAATTAATTTTTTTGCACACCTTATATATTTCTTTTCTTAAATATTACTTTAAAAATTAAAAAAAAAAAAAAACAAATAGGTAATATGAAATATTCTGTTAAATAAATAATTTTTCAGTTTTTTATTATCCAAAAATGAAAATATCAAAAAATAAAATTAAGTTTTTTATAATTTAATTTTCTGGTGGTCGGAATTGAAAAAGAAAAAAAATTTTAAAATATTCGCACACAAAAAAAATATTTTTTTTTGTTTTTTGCTCTGGTTAAATAATTTTTACTTTTTTTTTGCGTATTTTTGCTTCAGTTTCTTAAATTCATCATTATCAATATCATTAAAATATATCAACCATCTATCTATTCCGAAAAGACTTCCATTTTTTATTTTCTTAACATGCGGATTACTATACAATTACATTTTTTTTTATTTTAATTTTTTTTTTGTGTTGTTGCTTTTTTTCGTAATATACAAAAAAAAAATTATTTTAGAGAAATTTTTAGATAAAACGTCATATTAAGTATATATCAGAGGAAATAAATAGGGTGACCATAATTACTACATATTTTAAGAAATTTATATTCGATTAAAGCGATTGAAAATGAAGTTTTACACTAAAATCTAAAAATGTCTGCCCGATTACTACAATAATGATTTTGTCTTATTTAAAAATTAAATTTATTATGTAGATTTGCTATCAATGAAATATTTACACATGTATATATTGTTTTAGGTTTATTTTTTTAAATAAGTAGAAGAAATTTATCTTTGAAATCAATTAAAAGATTTTATACCTATATACTTAATTTCATTTGTTATTCTTTTTCGAAAATATTTATCAAAAATATTTATGTTTACTCTTGAATACATTCATAATTTTATTATCTACAATAAAATAGTTTCTTATACCTTATAATTTTCAATAAAGCTTACCTTTACATATAATTCATAGAGCATGAATAAATATTAAATTATCAGAAAAATTATATAAAAAATATAAGAAGTATGTACATAAATTATGTATATTATATACTTTTTTATATATAGGTACTCATTCTTTACTAAGAGCAAAAGTACCTCCTTACATAATTGAAAATGTAACGAAAATGAAATTAAATGGAATTGTCAAAATGAAAAACAATATTGAAATTTTTTAGTTGTCAAAACACTCATTAAATTTTTGTAAAAATTATTGTATTTTTTTTATATTGTATAATATAAATGTATGCATTGTACTCTAATCAATGTACAAAAATATCTTAAAATATGAATTTTCAATTATTATATTAATTTCTTGAAATTTTATGTGATGTTAAAAAAGGGGAAACAAAATAGAAAACAATAAGAGTTTTTAAAAATTATTTTAAACTCAATTTATAATAAATTTTTCTCATAAATTTATTTTATATTAAGCTAATATTTAAGAAAATATTTACATAATTTTTTTTATTAATACCTTTATTTTATTTTTGTTTTAGATGTCTGCCGGCGCCCAATTGCAGATGGCACCCCAAACGACGACGGCCATAGTCCATCATCAACATCACCAACACCATTATTCTCAGCAGCAGCAGCCACAACCGCAGCAGCCACAGCAATTGCAACCAAACGTACAGCCACAGCAAAATTCTATTCATTTACAGCATCAGCATCAGCAAGTTACAAACGTAGCACAACAACAAACATTAATCCATCAACATCATCAACAGCAAACTTCTCAACCTTTATCACAATCATCTCAAACAGCAAATCAACATTTTCAAAATTTTAATCCTGCAGTAGTTAATCAGCAGCAACAGCAGTCTGTGGTTGGAGCCTTGCACCAAGTTGTACAAGCTCCACCACAACAGCCTCAACCACCTCAACAGCAGCCGCAACAACAACCGCCACAACCACCACAACAGCAGCAACCTCCAACAGTTCCCGGTGCGCACCCAGGTGTTGCCCATCATATTTTATCCAATCACGATTCAAATATGAGTACTGGTTCAACTCATAGTGAAAAGGATAATCAAGAACTAGTACATTCAACATTAGGACATAATTTGATTGGTAATAATTCGGTAAATAATAATAATAACGGAAGTGTTGCTGGTCATATGACTGCTGGCGATATGGTTATAGTCGGAACGACTGGTTCAACTGGAACTGGCGGAGGCGGGGCAGGATCTGGTAATAATAGTGGAGGTAGTGGGCGAAGTAGTCATTCACATCATCATGAAAAACTGCCGCGAACACCGTCTGATTCAAGGAAACGAAAAAGAAAAGCTCCACCACCATCAGCAGATGATAGTGGAGGTGGTGGTGTAGCTGGAAATATTTTAGGGAGTGGTAATTTAGGTACAACAAATTTAAATTTAGGTCAAGATCGAATTAGTATGCCAACAATGGGTGGTAGTAAAAATGCACGTCTACCATTACAACTTAGCGATAGCAAAAAAATTAATGATTACTTTAATAAACATCCTGGTAATAGTCCCATGCGACAACATTCCACTGGAAATGGTGGTAATGTTGCTGGTGGTGGAGGAGGCGGTGGTGGAGGTCCTGGTGCAACAACACCAGGTGGTGCTAAATCACCGTCACAACAACATAGTAGTTATCAACTATTTCCGCCTAGTCCACAACAACCATCATTAAGTAGTTTAGTTGGTACACCGCCAATAAGCACGGCGACTTCTGTTGGTGAATTTCATTATAATCAAAAAAATCGCCAAACTTCCAATATGGTTCCTCCACAATCGCCAATAGGTGTTTTACCACCATCTTGTGGTTCAGTGATAGGTAAGGAAATTAAAAAAAAAAATAAAAACTCTTTTATGATTGCATTTAATTTTAATTAAAATTTTTTTTAGGGGGCACTCAAGTGCTGAATGCAGCAGTTGCACCACAATTAGTTGTAGCTAATTGTGGTCCACCACCACCTCCACCCCCACAATTGGTGACATCACAAGCATCTCAAGCGCAGCAGCCCCAACAACCACAACAGCAAGTTGTTCAAACGTCTCAACCACAATCATCATTAGCATCACAGCAAACAACTCAAACGTTAACAACATCCAGTCAACAACCAACGCAAAATTCACTACAAAATCAATCACAAACGAATTTAGTTGTACATCATAGTTTATCAATTCAACAACAGCAACAACAATCTTTACAGCATCTTCAGCAACAAATATCAATGCAAACTAAATCAACTCAAACAGATTTTTCTCTATTAGACATGCAGGAACGAGACACCGATTTAGAAACTTATAAAACTAAAATTGAGGATCTGACTCGATTAAATGATGAACAGAAAATGCAAATATCATCACAATCAAAAACAATTGATCAGCACAAAAGTCATATTAACAAATGTATTGATGTTGTAAAAAAATTGCTCAAGGAGAAATCAAATATTGAGAAAAAAGAAGCTAGACAAAAATGTATGCAAAATCGTTTAAGGTTAGGACAGTTTGTTACACAAAGGGTGGGTGCAACATTCCAAGAAAATTGGACTGATGGATACGCATTTCAAGAACTAGCAAGAAGGCAAGAAGAAATTTCAGCTGAACGTGAAGAAATTGATCGTCAAAAGAAATTATTGACTAAGAAACGACCTGTAACGGAGACTGGACGTGGCAAACGTAATAATAGCAATTCAAATTCAGGTGGGAACACAATAACTGCTGGAAATAATGCAGACAGAACCGGTTCGAGTAATCCAGATAGAGTAGGACGTGGAGCTGAACGTGGAAATAATTCAAGTGGTATAGGTTCGACTGTGGGTGATAACAGTAATTCGGCAGTTAATCAGTCAAGTAATTTGCATAATGGTGGCTCGGATACAACGTTCCTAAAACCAGATCCAGTTTCAACATCCTCATCGTCATCGGGCGGTTATACTGCTCAGGAATATTATGAATGTGATGAAATATTAAAATTAAGGCAAAATGCACTGAAAAAAGAAGATGCAGATTTGCAATTAGAAATGGAAAAATTAGAACGTGAAAGAAATTTACATATTAGGGAGTTAAAAAGGATATTAAATGAAGATCAGGTAACAAAACAGACCAAGCATATTTTCTGTTGTACTAAAATTCAGACGAAACTTAAAATCATGTGTTTTTCTTATTACAGTCAAGGTTTAATAACCACCCAGTGTTAAATGATAGGTATTTATTACTGATGCTACTTGGTAAAGGTGGATTCTCAGAAGTGCACAAAGCTTTTGATTTGAAAGAGCAAAGATATGTCGCATGTAAGGTACATCAGTTAAATAAAGACTGGAAAGAGGACAAGAAGGCTAATTATATAAAGTGAGTTGAAATTAGTATAATAATTCTAAAAGGGTTTTATGTATTTTTTAATATCACTACAACTTGTTTTTACTAACTCCCATAGACATGCTTTAAGAGAATACAATATTCATAAGGCTTTAGATCACCCAAGAGTTGTTAAGTTATATGACGTGTTTGAAATTGATGCAAATTCATTCTGTACTGTGTTAGAGTATTGTGATGGTCACGACTTAGATTTTTATTTAAAACAACATAAGACAATACCGGAACGTGAAGCTAGATCTATAATCATGCAGGTAACTAACTATAAACTGCATTCAAAAATTTCTTTAAAAACACTTCGTCATTCTGATGAGATTTAAATTTTAAATTTTATTTTTATTCCAGGTTGTGTCAGCATTAAAGTATTTAAATGAAATTAAACCTCCAGTTATACATTATGATTTGAAACCCGGTAACATTTTACTGACAGAAGGAAATGTATGTGGTGAAATTAAAATTACAGATTTCGGCCTATCGAAAGTGATGGATGAAGAAAATTATAATCCAGATCATGGTATGGATCTAACGTCCCAAGGTGCTGGAACGTATTGGTGAGTGATACGGACACAAAAACACTAATTATTTTATAGTTTGATAAAAAAAAGTTTTAGTTCTTATTTCGTGATTTAATGTCACAAAACACGTTTACACTAAGATATTTAGCATATTTTTATTTGTCATAAGTCATTTTGTTTTATTTTTTAAAGTTATCACTATAGTTGTAGTATTTGTATAACATTAAATAAAAGGAACTTGTTATACTATTTCCTTTGTAATTTTTTAGGTATTTACCTCCAGAATGCTTTGTTGTTGGCAAAAATCCACCAAAAATTTCATCAAAAGTTGATGTTTGGAGTGTTGGTGTAATTTTTTATCAATGTTTGTATGGAAAGAAACCATTTGGCCATAATCAATCACAGGCAACAATATTAGAAGAAAATACAATACTAAAAGCAACTGAGGTTCAGTTTTCAAATAAACCAGCAGTTTCAAGTGAAGCAAAGGCAAGATATATATTTTAATTCCGTATTTCATAAGAAATATATTTCCAACTTAAATATATTTATATACTTTTATTCGATTGTACACGCTCAAAATCATTGCATTATTTTATTTATTATTTTTTTTTTATTTTAGAGTTTTATTCGAGGCTGCTTAGCATATAGAAAAGAAGATCGTATGGATGTGTTTTCACTTGCAAGATCCGAATATTTACAACCACCTCAGCCAAAGCATAATAGACAGTCTTTAAATCAACAACAACAACAGCAACAACAACAACAATCTTCATCTCAGCAACAATCGCAAGGTAATGTTGGTCAAACATCATTTTCAACGGGAATGTTTGGTAATTTAAATCAATCAAGTTCATCCTAGCTATCTAGACGTAATTCTAATTCGTAATTGGCATCAAAATTGAATTGTTATACATATAATATTAATAATAATAATAATAATAATAATAATAATAATATTAACAATAATAGTAATAATTACAATAACAATAATGATTATAGCAACAATTTTAATAATAATATCAATAACTATAATAATAATAATAATAATAATAATAATAATAATAATAATAATAATAATAATAATAATAATTCTAAAAGAAGCAACATAAACGACAAAAATATAAAAATTAATAATTTAATAATGGCTACAACTGCAACATTATCAGCGGCAACTGGAACAACAATGATTAAATTAACACCAACAATTAATCAATATAATTTTCAAACTGGTGAATACAATATTGAAAATGATAATGCAAATAATAATAATAATTGTCATATAAATGATAGTGAAAAAATTGAAACGCAATTAGCAATAATGAATACTACAATAGCTAAAAGAACTAGAAATGGAATTAAAAATTTTTTAAATTATATGAAAACCTCCAACAAATCAAATCAAATTAGATATATAAATAATAATAACGATAATAATATTAATAAATATGGTAATAATATAAACTTTTATAACAATAATAGCAATAATAATAATTATAATATCAATAATATTTATGATAATAATAATAATAATAATAACAATGATGTTAATATTAATTACAAAGGTAATAAGAATAAAAGAATCAAAACTAATGCAACTATAGGATTATTAAATACAATACAATTAAAGAAAACAGGAATCTCAACACAACAAAAATCAACAATTGAAACAACAACAGTATCAGTAAGTAACAAAAGTACAACAAATTTATCAATATTTAATTCACCAATAGAAAATATTTTAACTGCAACAACAAATAATATACAAGCAACCACAACAGGAACCCCACAGAACAATATTATATTACATCAATTTCAATTGGAAAAAAGACAAGAATTACATCAACAGAAACATAATCAAAATTTTTCTAAAAATTTTAATAAAAATAATATTAATAACAATAATAAAAGAAGTAATAGAAAAAAATAAATGAAAAGAAAAATTAGTACATAATTAAAATTTATATATTTGTGTATATAATATTATTCTATAAGTATGTTGATATACATACATGCATATAAATGTATATATGCATATCCATATGCATATACAAATTTAGATTAAAATAAAACAAACAAAAAAAAAGTAAAATAAAATAAAATCGAAAAAAAATAAACAAGTTTTATAATTTCATTTATTTTTTTCTTGTTTTTCAAAATTAATTAATTACACTATTTTAAGTTTAAGGAATGAAATTTATTAATAAATATATATATGCATATATAAATATGTATATATATTTATAAAATAAATTTTAAAGAAATAAATTTAAATAAGGCCAATAACGGAAAGCAGTTAACAGTTTCCAAGCGCAAAATATTAATGAACTGTTGTTTTTAAATTTTCAAAAAAAAAAATTTATTTAATATAAAATAAACAATTTAAAAACTGAAATATGGAACCAAATAGCCCTAGACAAAACAAAACAAAAACTTAGAAAAAATTATTATATTAAAAGATAAAAAAAATATTCTCCAACTCTTGAGCTAACGAAAACAAAAAAAATAAGAGAAAAAAGGAACCTATAAGAAAAATTAATGAAATAATTTTGATTGAAATTAATGAAGAAAAAAACAAAATTAATAGAAAATAGAAGAAGAACATCTTTATATGCATACGTATTTGATAACATATTGATAATTATATGTTCTCTATATAAATATATATATATAATATATATATATATATATATATATATATATAGAAATTAAAATATAAGAGAAAATTTAAAAATTTTGTAGTTATGAAAAAATATTAAAAATAATTAATATTAATTTAAATTAAACATAAAATAATTTTTAATTCTTGTGATAATAAAAAAAATTACAATTACAATAATAAAATAATTAATATACATAATATTATTTAAAAGCATAAATTTATATATATATCTAGGTATATATGTATTTACATGTATATTAATAAATTGCATGAATGCGTTTTTTAAAATCAAATATTTTACCCATTGAAATTAATTTTAAATAAAAATTTAATTGAAAAATTAAAAAAATAAAAGGATTTTTGAATTTCAAAATTTAGTTGGAAATCTTAATTTTTTTTTTTTTTTAATTTTCAGTTCCATTGAATTTCAACAAAAATTTCAAAAATTGTAATGAAGAAGAAAATAGATGATATTGAAAAAAATTAAATTCAGAAAAAAGAACAAATTTTTTCGAAAACTTCATGGCAATAAATCATTAAATATAGATTTTGTTAAAGGTTTCTTTAAATACCATCAATTTTTGGGTATTTAAATTTAGTAATTTTCAGATTTCAGAAAATCAATTTTGGAATTTGACATTCTAAACTGTGAAAATCCGAATTCTTGAAAATCCGATCGTTTTAAACTATACTCATAAACAAAAAAAAATAAGTTTTTGAGGCACGTTCTTAGGGAATTTTGTTAAAAACCAAAAAAATGTTACGCTCCTTTTGTTCTTTTCCAAAAATTAAAAATTGTACGAAAAATTTATTTAATATTAAAATTATATTCATAGAAGTAATTTTATGATTTAAAATCTATAAAATTTGTATTTGAATTTTATATAGTCAAGAAGCTAAATATACATGTAAATCATATATATATATATACATGTTATAATATTCAATTATGCATTAATAATAAATGTAAAATATATAACATATATTATATAATTACATTATGTAAAATATATAAAACTATGTACATTTTATAAAATATTATAAAAAATAAATTCAAAATAAGAAACAAACAATTTTCATTTTTAATAAATTTCAAATTGTTTTATTGTTTTTAATTTTTTATTTAAAGAAATTGAAAAATGGAAAATTAATTAAAAAAATATAAAAATTAAATTTAAAATTTATTGAAAAAGTAAAAAAAAAAAAAAAATAAATTTGAAATACAATAAAAGTTGCGTGTGTATAGTATGTTAAAAAAAAAATGAAAACAAAATGAAAAAAGAAAACTAAAAAGAGAACTTTCCCGTGGAATGAGATTTTATTTAAGATTATGTAATAAAATTATTATAAAAATATATTATTGCAAAAAACAAAAAATAAATAAAAATTTAAAAGTATGTAAAAAATAATAATAAAGAAAAAACAATATGGTTAAAAAATGTAAAATTAGCAATTAAAAAATTATATTAATAGTAATTAGAAATTTTAAAATTTTAGAAATACCAAAACACTGTGAATTTATCTTATCAAAAAAAGAAAAATGAAAAAACAAAAAAAAAAAAAGAAAATAATAATTGCATATAAAACAATGAAAATTATTTTAATTTACTATGTTCATATTGATATTAAAAAAAAATACAAATGTGTTTATTTCAAATTACTTTTTATTTTGTAATTATAAAAGAAATTCTAAATAAAATGTTAAATTTTTTATTTAAATATTTATGAAATGGTAATTATATTTTTATATAATTGCATTTGACTTCAAAATTGCAGTGATTTACAATAAATTAATATACAATTTAGCTATTTTGAACTTATAAGCGGGAACGCGTATTAATACTGGCATTATATTGCTACATTTCGATAGAAAAGGAATCACTTTTAAGAGCTAAATTGAATTTTTACTCAAAATGTAATAAATTTTTATAATAGTTTTTCTTCTTGTTAATTTATATTTAATATAAATTCTTGCAAATAACTAAATTTCAACTGAATATTTCTATTATTTCTAATTATTCTTATAAGTATGAACATGGTATTTTTAAAATGCTTTTTCTCATTTTTTTTTTTTTTTTTTTTTTTGTAAAGAAACATAAAATAGAATTTTAAATTAAATATAAAAATTCAAAATTCAGAATTGCTGTGCAAAAATTTTTTTGAAGAAAGCTTAAATAAAAAGTATAATATTAAAATGAAATTATCAAAAATATTATATATAAATGTAATAAATTATTAAAATTTCATTATATTTGAAAATTTTCAATAAAAAAAAAAAAACTAAATAAAAAATATTTTATATGTGAGAATTGCAAAAAAAAAAAAAAAAGAAAGAAAGAAAATAAAGAGCATAAAAAGAAAAATATTAAAAAATTAAACAACACCGAATTATAAAAATAAAATAAATCAAAATTTAAAATATAAGAACCTAGGAATGAATTTAATCAAGAAGAAAATAAGTAATAATTACAATTAAAGAAATAAAAATATGAAAAAGAGTAAATAATATTAATTTCAAATTTCATACATCGAACATAAAAACATTTTTCTATTTATTTAATTTATAAAAGGCAAGTAAATCAATACAAAAAAAAAAAAGAAGAAAAACCAAAAAAACTGAACCAATTTCAAAAATTTTTCAATTTAATTTTACAAATTTTTAAAATTTTAAAATTAAAAAACAAAATATTCAATGTTTTCTTTTCATAATTAATTATTTTTTTTTTTTCAATTAAAATTTTTATTAAATCTTTTAAAAATTTAATTTATAAATATTTGAATATCATTTTTCATAAATGCGTAAATACTTTTATTTTTAATAATGGAATTCTTTGCGAAAATTATTGCAAAAATTTTTCAGGTTTATTTTATTTAAAAAAAAAAAATCCTTGACTGAGGGTTTTCGGTAATTCAGTTGTTAGAATAGCCGCAAATTCTTTAACGTCAAATTTTTGTTTTCAGTCTGTAAACTGTCTGACGTATAAAACTTTTACGGACAGAAATGTAGTAAACTTTTTTGATCATCCGTAAACGTCAAATCAGAAAAGGAATATTTTTTTAGATTTAAAATAATTTTATACTTACATATTAAAAATTAACAAAAAAAATATTTTTTATATTATTTTTAACGTAATGATAGTCACTCCATACATCAAATTTATTTACTGAATTACTACGTCCGACTGTCTGCATGTAAAAAAAAAAAAATCTACAATTTTGACGCTTAATTGACTT